CGAAGACGATTGTGGATACTAACAATCGTAACGTCGTAACATAACTTGGTTTGGAATCTTTCAATTTTTATTTTTCATTTTTGTTAATAATATTCTTTGATTTTCAGCTTTGGTTGTAGCTTGTATGTTTATTTCCTTGTAATTTCAGTTTTTTGTTTTAATAAAATTGTTATTTTCGGTTAATCTTTTTATTTTTTCGGGGATTTCGAATCAATTTATATTATATTAGACAATGGAAGTTCGAACTGATGAAAAACACCAAATGCCTTGGCATCATTTCAAATCTCCAGCTAAATTAGAGGTAACATATTTTTCAACTGAATAAAACGTTGTCTTTGCTTTGCTCTTTGCTGGTTTGCTCGTAGAACTCTTAAAGCACAAGACTCAGACAGTAAAAATTTGAAAATAGTTTACTCGTACATCGCAACCATACACACTCATATACAGGATGTTCCTTAAACACATGCTAATATTTAAGGAGGTAATTCTTAGACCCATTTTAAGGAAGAAACGTCCTATGGACGTATGTCCTAAACGCCTTAACTTTTGAGATACAGGGTGGCAAAGTTTTCAAAAATAATCAGTTTTTTAATAATAACTGAGATAATTTTGNAGAATGCAAGGATGGTTAAAAGAGACGTGTTGTCCATGTTCAGTTCAGGAACTGATCGCAATTTGAGTGTTGAAATTCGATATTGGTGAAGTTATAATTACTTAAAATGTTTGTTATTTATTTAAAATGTGGCGTCCTTGGACAAGTACTAATAGTAATAACGAGTGTGATAACAACGCAGACTTTTTCCAGTGTAATGATTCCAATAGTAATGGTGAACAATGCGAAAATAAGATACCAGTGAACTAGATTCGGATTCATTCGAATATTGAAATATAGAGAGTATGTTTCAATGTATCTAAGATTCTTCATCTCAAGTTTGGTTTCGAGGAAAACAAACTATCACAAGCAACATCAGATTCGACCGAAATTCCTTTCTCAACTGTACGTAAAATAGTCAAAAACAAACCTTATGAACGCAAGACGTTATGTGATACGGGATTACCAGAACCTTTAGATGTTCATCTAATGAAATCACTAAAAATAGTATAGAACTGTTACAAAAGAAATAAGATCTCTACAATTGAAATCAAGGAAAAAGTTGAATACTTTCGGCCATAACGTGAGCTGCTGTGACAAAACTGTTCAGAATTGGATAAAGAAACTAAGATTCAGATTTAAAATAATAAAACAAACGTCAAGCAGTCATGGAAAGCAGAAAAATAGTGTAATCACTTAACAAACGGCAAATTTTCTATTTTGACAAAACTTGGTATGACACTCACGACATAGTTACGAAAGAGTGGACTGATGGTTCGAGAATGTGTACGCCTAACATGCCTGCAAACAAAGAATCGTGACTGATCATTGTGCATTGCGGAGGAAGTAAAGAATGGGTTCTGAATTCTTTGAAATTATGTGAAAAAAAATTGAGGACTGCAATAATGACTACCATAAGAACATGGAAGCTAATATTTTTGAGGAATGATTTGAAAAATGGATCGCATATGTGGATGCGAATAGTGTAATAGTTCTCTTGAGAGTATTGCTGAAACATACTTTGATGAGCAGTCGCGAACAATAGGAAGCTTTATCAATAACTATTACACTATTCCAAATTTGGGATCAATGTGTTTTCAAGTCATTTCTCAAAAATATTAGCTTCTATGTTCCATGTCAACATTGCAGTCCTCAAGTTTTTTCCACATAATTTCAAAGAATTCGGAACCCATCCTTTACTTCCTCCGCAATGATTACTCGCCATCCTTTGTTTGCAGGCATGTTAGACGTACACATTCTCGAACCATCAGTCCATCCTTTCGTAACTGTGTTGTGATTGTCATACCAAGTTTCGTCTAAATATAAAATTTGCCGTTGTTCTTGCCTATATTTACTTATTTGTTCTAAGTATTTGTTACGCAATTCCAATATACTTCTGCTTTCCATAACTGCTTGACGTTTGTTTATTATTTTGAATCTAAATCCTAGTTTCTTTATCCAATTCTGAAGAGTTTTGTCACAGCAGCTCACGTTATGGCCGGAAGTTAAACGTTGTGTTTGATTTGGAAATGAATTTCTGTCTGTTGAAATAATTCAGACCCGCTTTTTTGTAGGATATCCCAATATCGAAATAGATCTTAATGATTCAACGAATAAAAAAAAAGCTCATCTTTGCCAGAGTAAAATTTGTAGAGAACAAGTAGTAGGATGGGATTGTGGTGATGAAGTATCAGAGTGGCTCTCAAAAGCTTTAGCAATGCCTGGATTGAGATTGCTTCGACAATATGAAGATGAAGGTAAATAGTTCCTCAATTCACTTATCTTGATTTTCATCTGGTTTTAATTGAAAATTTTTTACTTTTCCAGACAAATATTCAGTTGTTTATTTTTGAATATTTTTGACTACAAAATTTACAACATATCATACAATTTTGTCATTCGAATTAGGCATAGTGAAAGTTTCAAAAAATGAAGTGGAATTCTTCTGTTATATCAATGATGCAAGACAAGACATTCCGTCCAGGAATATATAGGGTGGCCCACCATATATATACCGGGTGTCCCACATTTAATGTGACAGGCAATATCTGGTTTGTTGAAGGAGATATACAAAAATGTTTCATACAAAAGTTTTAGGAGTTCATGAGAGCTATATTTTGATATAATTTTTAAATATACAGGGTG